TTTTTTATGAACTGAGCATCATTTAAATATCACAGCCTACCTGAGTATTGTTGCTGCCCATCTCCATCCCAGTATGGCCACACTGCACCCACCGTTTGATGATTGCTTCCACCAAGATAACGCGCCATGGCAATGAACTGACTGCACTCACATGGACTCCACAAGCACCAGATCTCAGACCTTTATGATGTGGTAAAAGGGAGATTCACATCAGAGTTGTGCAGCTGACAAATCTGAAACAACTCTGTGACACCATCATGCCAATCTGGACCAAACTCTGAAGCATGTTTCCAGCACAGCGCTGGACAAATGGAGAAAACTTGATTGAAACTGGAAACTAAATAATTTTGAGTAAAATCAACAAACACTGTATCAGGTAGGAAAGAAAAACACGCTCCAAAGGTCCCGGTCATTTCCTCTCATTTACTGGATTTTATGATAAATACGTCTCATAAATTTCTAGATGTTTTAGAAACACTGCCTTTGTTAACGATTTGCTAGACAATAAAACACTGGCCATACGAGACAATCAAATAAAAGTTATTTAAACTAAAACACTGTTTCGAAGCACTTTACCTTACTCTCCATGGATGAAATATTCCCAATAAAAACATCAGCAGATAAGAAGCTGTTATGGCGTCACATGACATTAAGTTTTAATTTTGAGATGTTTTACAATCAAATCTGTTACACATACAATATAGAAATGAATTGAATATTTCCATGAAATATCATTATTTTGTTTAATAAACATTCTGATAAATAAATTATGAAAATAACCCCAAAAACTTAGTCAGTTATTGCAAACAATATCAGAAGTCTGTCACAAATCAAGAAAAGATTTAAAAATAATATTTATTATCTTTAGAGAAATAAAGATTTCAATAAAAACTGAGTTTTTATTGTATAAAATGTCTGTGCTATTTTCTAACAATGAACTGATGAACAATCACTTGTCTGTTTTTCCTAGGCCACTTCTTATAATAAAAAGTATAAAACAAAGACATTTTACCTTCAAGTGAGTATCTTGTTTATGAAGCTTCTTTACTTTTTGTTGCATAAGATAATGATTTTATGAATTTTATCATTTTTAACTTGAAATCTCACAGATTTCAGCGCTACCGCCGTATACACCGAGCCCAACCAGGAGTGGGCACGTAGTCTGGACTCTGTGGAGGAGAGTCATGGTTCGAGTGCTTTCAGAGACGCTGTAGAAGGACAGATAAGTGTAACTATTAAAATGATTCAGGAACACTCCAATTCTCGAGGACTGTGGACCTTTAATGAAAGTGTTGCTGCCTGAATCTCTGAATGTATAACCACCACTGAAACACTCCAATGCCCATGAACTGTTATTGTTTCCAAAAGCACTCTCTTTTCCTGATCTGCTTACACTGCTGTCAGCTAATGCTATAAAGACATCATCCCCACTCCACTCCACCTCCCAGTAACAAGGTCCTGTGAAACTCTCTCTGCTCAACACCTGAGGCCAGTCAGTGAATCTGTCAGTGTGATCATACTTGGCTGTTTGAGTACAACTATATTTTGCTTTTAAGCCAGGCCCAAGCACAACGCGCTGGTGTGCTGTGTTTGGGTTAAATGTGATTTCACATTTATATTTTAGGAATTCAGCTCTGGTCTTGGGCTCTGACTCAAACAGTGAAACATCACCCTGAGTTTCTTCAACAGCAGTTATGGTCCATTCAACATTGTCCTGCAGTTTCTCTCTGGTCTCCGACACAGCTGCTGCCACATCCTCAGTGTAGCTCTCAGGATGAATATTGATGCTGGCTGAGTCTGGAGCTTCACTGAGACGTGACAGCAAGGTGTAGTTGTGTAGAAACTGGGTGGGGTCCTCTGTGTGAGAGAGCTGCTCCAGCTCAGCTTTTCTCCTCCTCAGCTCAGAGATCTCCTGCTGCAGGACCTTCA